TGAAGATAGGGAAGCTGTGATTTCGTGTATAGGCCAAGGAGAATAACATCTTGTAGGAGTGAGGAAGAGCCAGTTGTGAGTGTGGGGAAGTTCGTGAGACAGTAGGTAAAAATGAAAGGGGTTAAGGCAGCCGGGATTGATGGGATAAAGATAGAAATGTTAAAAGCAGGTGGGGATAAAGTTTTGGAGTGGTTGGTGCAATTATTTAATAAATGAATGGAAGAGGGCAAGGTACCTAGGGATTGGCAGAGAGCATGCATAGTTCCTTTGTATAAAGGCAAAGGGGACAAAAAAGAGTGCAAAAATTATAGGGGGATAAGTCTGTTGAGTATACCTAGTAAAGTGTATGGTAGAGTTATTATTGAAAGAATTAAGAGTAAGACGGGAGAATAGGATAGCAGATGAACAAGGAGGCTTTAGGAAAGGTAGGGGGTGTGTGAACCAGGTGTTTACAGTGAAACATATAAGTGAACAGTATTTAGATAAGGTTTCTAAAGAGGTCTTTGTGGCATTTATGGATTTGGAAAAGGCGTATGACAGGGTGGATAGGGGGGCAATGTGGCAGATGTTGCAGGTGTATGGTGTAGGAGGTAGGTTACTGAAAGCAGTGAAGAGTTTTTAAGAGGATAGTGAGGCTCAAGTTGGGTATGTAGGAAAGAGGGAAATTATTTCCCAGTAAAAGTAGGCCTTAGACAAGGATGTGTGATGTCACCGTGGTTGTTTAATATATTATAGATGGGGTTGTAAGAGAAGTAAATGCGAGGGTCTTGACAAGAGGCGTGGAGTTAAAAGATAAAGAATCACACATAAAGTGGGAGTTGTCACAGTTGCTCTATGCTGATGACACTGTGCTCTTGGGAGATTCTGAAGAGAAGTTGCAGAGATTGATGGATGAATTTGGTAGTGGGTGTGCAAAAGAAGAAAATTAAAAGTGAATACAGGAAAGAGTAAGGTTATGAGGATAACAAAAAGATTAGGTGATGAAAGATTGGATATCAGATTGGAGGGAGAGAGTATAGAGGAGGTGAATGTAATCAGATATTTGGGAGTGGACATGTCAGCGGATGGGTCTATGAAAGATGAGGTGAATCATAGAATTGATGAGGGGAAAAGGGTGAGTGGTGCACTTAGGAGACTGTGGAGACTAAGAACTTTGTCCTTGGAGGCAAAGAGGGGAATGTATGAGAGTATAGTTTTACCAAGGCTCTTATATGGGTGTGAAGCATGGGTGATGAATGTTGCAGCGAGGAGAAGGCTGGAGGCAGTGGAGATGTCATGTCTGAGGGGGCAATGTGTGGTGTGAATATAATGCAGAGAATTCGTAGTTTGGAAGTTAGGAGGAGGTGCGGGATTACAAAAACTGTTGTCCAGAGGGCTGAGGAAGGGTTGTTAAGGTGGTTCGGACATGTAGAGAGAATGGAGAGAAACATAGTGACTTCAAAGAGTGTATCAGTCAGTAGTGGAAGGAAGGCGGGGTAGGGGTCGGCCTAGTAAAGCTTGGAGGGAGGGGGTAAAGGAGGTTTTGTGTGCGAGGGGCTTGGACTTCCAGCAGGCATGCGTGAGCGTGTTTGATAGGAGTGAATGGAGACAAATGGTTTTCAATACTTGACGTGCTGTTTGAGTGTGAGCAAAGTAACATTTATGAAGGGGTTCAGGGAAACCGGCAGGCCGGACTTCAGTCCTGGAGATGGGAAGTAGAGTGTCTGCACTCTGAAAGAGGGGTGTTAATGTTGCAGTTTAAAAACTGTAGTGTAAAGCACCCTTCTGGCAAGACAGTGATGGAGTGAATGATGGTGAAAGTTTTTCTTTTTCGGGCCACCCTGCCTTGGTGGGAATCGGCCAGTGTGATAATAAAATATATATATATATATATATATTATATATATATATATATATATATATTATATATATATATAAATATATATATATATATATATATATATATAATATATATATATATATATATAATATATATATATATATTTAACACATCGGCCGATTCCCACCAACGGGGTGGACCGAAAAAGAAAAACTTTCATCATTCACTCCATCACTGTCTTGCCAGAGGCACGCTTACACCACAGTTATTAAACTGCAACATTAACACCCCTCCTTCAGAGTGCAGACACTGTACTACCCATCTCCAGGACTGAAGTCCGGCCTGCCGGTTTCCCTAAATCCTTTCATAAATGTTACTTTGCTCAAACCCCAACAGCACGTTAAGTATTAAAAACCATTTGTCTCCATTCACTCTTATCAAACATACTCACGCATGCTTGCTGGAAGTCCAAACATACTCACGCATGCTTGCTGGAAGTCCAAGTCCCCTGCACACAAAACCTCCTTTACCCCTTCCCTCCAACCTTTCCTACGCCGACCCCTACCCCACCTTCCCTCCACTAAAGATTTCTACACTCTCGAAGTCATTGCATCTTGTTCCATCCTCTCTACATGCCCAAACCACCAATAACCCCTCCTCAGCCCTCTGGATAATAGTTTTGGTAATCCCACACCTCCTAATTTCCAAACTACGAATTTGCTGCATTATATTCACACCACACATTGCCCTTAGACATGACATCTCCACTGCCTCCAGCCTTCTCCTCGCTGCAACATTCACCATCCATGCTTCACACCCATATAAGAGCGTTGGTATAACTATACTCTCTTACATTCCCTTCCTTGCTTCCACAGACAAAGTTCTTTTTCTCCAGACTCCTAAGGGTACCACTCACCAATTCTATGATTCATCTCATCCTTCATAGACCCATCTGCTGACACGTCCACTCTGAAATATGTGTGTACATATATATATATATATATATATATATATATATATATATATATATATATATATATATATATATATATATATATTATATTTATATATATATATATATATATATATATATATAAAAAACACTGGCGTTTCCCACCAAGACAGGGTGACCCAAAAAAGAAGAAACACTTTCATCATCACTCACACCAACATTGTCTTGCCAGAGGCGTGCCTACACTACAGTTATAAGACTGCAACATCAACACCCCTCCTTTAGAGTGCAGGCACAGTACTACCCACCTCAATCTTGTAGAATGTACATTCTACAAGACTGATAGACTGAATACATTGACTCCAGACTGAGGGACTGATTACCTCAAACTCCTCCTCTCCTTACACCTTTCTACTTTGTATTGGACTGATGAAGCCACTGTGTGGCGAAACGTTTCCTCAATAAAGATTCCCATATGTTGTATAAGTGTCTCAATCTTCGACTTATCTGCTGACAAGTCCACTTCCAAACATCTGAATATTTTCACTTCTTCCATACTCTCTCCCTCCAATCTGATAACCAAACTTTCATTACCTATTTTTTGGTTATAATCATCACCTTCCTCTTTCCTATGTTCATTTTTAATTTTCTTCTTTTACATACCCTACCAAACTCGTCCACCAACCTCTGCAACTTCTCTTCAGAATCTCCCAAAAGCACAGTGTCATCAGTAAAAAGCAACTGTGACAACCACTCTGCGTTAGATTCTTTATCTTTTTATCCTATACCTCTTGCCAACACCTGAGCATTCACTTCTCTTACATCTATAAATATATTGAACAACCACGGTGACATCACAAATCATTGTCTAAGGACTACTTTTATTGGGAAATAATCTCCCTCTCTCTTACATACTCTAACCTGAGCCTCACTATCATCGTAAAAACTCTTCACTGCTTTCAATAACCTACCTCCTATTCTATACGCCTGAAACATTTGCCACATTGCCTCCCTATCCACCCTATCATACGCCTTTTCCAAATCAATAAATTCCACAAAAACCTCTAATCTAAATACTGTTTACCTATATGTTTCACTGTAAACACTTGGTCTACACACCCCCTACCCTTCCTCAAGCCTCTTTGCTTATCTGTGATCCTTCTCTCCGTCTTACTCTTAATTCTTTTAATAATAACTATACCATACACTTTACTAGGTATAATCAACAGACTTATTCCCTATAATTTTTACGCTCTCTTTTATCCCCTTTGCTTTTATGCAAAGGCACTATGCATGCTCTCTGCCAATCCCTAGGTGTCTTAGCACTAACCACTCCAAAACAATATCCCTACATGCTTTTAACACTTCTGTCTTTATCCCATCAATTCCAGCTGCTTTACCCCCTTTCATTCTATCCAGTGAATCATGCACTTCCCCCATACTCAGAAGTGGCTCTTTCACACTCCTACAAGATGTTATACCTCCCTGCCCAATACGAAATCACAGTTTCCCTATCTTCATCAACATTTAACAGTTCCTCAAAATATTCCTTCCATCTTTCCGATATCTCTAACTCTCCATCTAATAACTCTACTCTCCTAATTTTAACTGTCAAATCCATTCGTTCTCTAGGCTTTCTCAGCTTATTAATCTCACTCCACAACTTTTTCTTATTCTCAAAAAAAATTGTGGATAGTATGTCACCCACTCTCTCATTTGCTCTCCATTTACATTGCTTCACCACTCTATTAACCTCTCATTTTCTCTCCATATACTTCTTTCTCCTTTCATCACTTCTACTCTGTAAAAACCTTCTGATATGATAACTTTTTCTCTTTTACTCTCTCTTTACTTTCATTCCACCAATCACTCTTCTTCCCTCCCGCACCCACTTTCTGTAACTACAAAAACTTCTGCTCAACGCTTTAACATTAATACACAATATATATAGATATATATATATATATTTATATATATATATATATAATATATATATATATATATTACATTATTATTTAATGTGTGTGTGTGTGTGTGTGTGTGTCGTGTGTTGTGTGTGTGTGTGTGTGTGTGTGTGTGTGTGTGTGTGTGAGTGTGTGTGTGTGTGTGTGTGTGTGTATGTGTGTGTCTGTGTGTGTATGTGTTGTGTATGTGTGTGTATGTGTGTGTGTGATGGTGTGTATGTGTGTATGTGTGTATGTGTGTGTGTGCGTATGTTGGGGGGCTAACCGTACCTGTAAATGTTGTGTCTGCTGTGTTTTTTCTTTTTATAACTTCGTTGATGTAGATGTCAATAAAGTCTCTTAGATTATCTGGGTCGAAAGTCTCCTTGTGCTCCTTCCACAGTTTTCTGTTAGCACGCATACCAAAACACACTTTCTTCAGTTATTCTAAATAATTTTTAAATAGTTGGATAATTTGCAAAGATATATTGCATAGTTAATTAAGATGGATACATAAGCAACTCTCTTCCCCCTAATGAGGAAATACTCCCAAGAAGAGATGGAGAAAGAATCTTGAAGAATTATTTTTATGGAGGTGGCATGCTTATTTATCCTATGTATTTATATACGAGATTTTTTTGGTAGGTGGGGAGGATAGGGGTAGGATGGCGCTCTTCAGAAGAGTGAAAGGGGAAAAAAAAAAAAAACGGGGGGGGGATTTTTTTTTGGAAAATTAACCCCTTTTTCCTTTGGGAAACTACTTAGCACGCACTGTGAAATCTCAGGAATAGGTAAGTTCAGTGCCAGCATTCAAATGAGAGGTGTAGGAATTTGCTGCTCGCGAGGGTTATTTGTACTGAGATTATATATATATATATAGATATATATATATATATATATATTTTTATATATATATATATATATAATATATATATATATATATATATATTATATATATATATAAATATAATTGGTACATATATATATATATAATATATATAAATATATATAGCCCCCCAATATATATATATATCATATTATATATATATTATATTATATCATATATATATATATATATATATATTTATATATATATATATGCAAAACAACCACTCGAAAAGAATAGGAAAATTCCAAGCGCTTTCGTGACTACTCACATATCAAGAACTATGAAAGTAAAGCATCTAGGAAGCTAGATAAGGGTCTGGGTCGCACCTCACTATCAGATCCCACATCGTTAAAACACGTTGACGCGCGGCGAGCCAACCTTGTGAAAGGTCCTGGCACAACTCACCCACAAACTATTCTACCCAAGAAATAAGAAATTTCTAAAGATTATTTGTCCAGTGTATTATTAAATAAACCCAAACAACCAAAACAATGGATCTAATTTATATAAACCAAAGGTAAATATTTAATTTTAATGTCAAAACTGTTTTTATGAAAACAAGATCAATTATATTCCTGTCGACCATGGATTGCTTGATACTCCTTTCTCAACTTTTTGAAATCACTTGGATGGTTAAAATCTCTTACTGAATAAATAGAGCATTGGAATCTTGTCCAGTTCTAATGCATATTTATGTTGTTTTAATCTTATTTTCGAGTTTTTTACCATTGACCGTAATAAACTTTATCGCAAATTTTACAAGGAATCTTATAGACACATCCATCAGCATTTTGGGGGAATTCTTTATCAAAAGTTTTTTTACTGTATCGAGATTTTTGAAAAACTTTTGATAAAGAATTCCCCCCAAAATGCTGATGGATGTGTCTATAAGATTCCTTGTAAATTTTGCGATAAAGTTTATTACGGTCAAACTGGAAAAAAATCTCGAACTAAGATTAAAACAACAAAAATATAGCATTAGAACGGGGACAAGATTCCAATGCCCCTATTTATTCATGTAAGAGATTTTAACCATCCAATTGATTTTCAAAAAGTTGAGAAAGTAGTATCAAGCAAGTCCATGGTCGACAGGAAATAATTAAATCTTGTTTCATAAAAAGCAGTTTTGACAATAATATGAATATTTCCTTTGGTTTATATAAATTAGATCCATTTAAAATTAATAGAATTTGGGAGAATTTAATAAAAACACTGGACAAATAATCTTTTAAAATTTCTTATTTCTTGGGTAGAATAGTTGTGGGGTGAGTTGTGCCAAGGACCTTTCCAAGTTGCTCGCCGCGCGTCAGTGTTTTAACCGTTGTGGGATCTGATATTTGAGGTGCCGACCAGACCCCTTATATAGCTTCCTTGGATGCTTTACTTTCATAGTTCCTTGATAATGTGAGTAGTCACGAAAGCGCTTGGAATTTCTCTATTCTTTCAGAGTGGTTGTTTTGCATATTCTGAAAATCACCTGTTTACTGTGATCTTATTGCATTATATATATATATATATATATATATATATATATATATATAATAAAATATATATAAAATATATTATATATATATATATATATATATGTGTGTGTGTGTGTGTGTGTGTGTGTTGTGTGTGTGCAAAAAAACCCGCAGACAGGCGATGTTAAAAATGCAAGACAAGCCATATGGATGTGGGGGGAGAGGAGTGGAAATCTTAAGCTCAAGTACTTTCACACTTCTCAGTGCGTCATCAGGAGCTGTGCAATGTTGGAAGGGAGCAACAGGAAAAAATGAGGGAAAGCTTTTCAGAGTATGGTAACGTGGTGGCACCTACGAGGATCAATCTCTGAGTGTGGGAGAGGAGGCTCGATCGAATGGCAACCACCACCGGTCCCCCCACACCCCACCCCAGATGGGGTCAGGTGCTGTAGGCCCCACAGTTGGCAGCAGCATAAGATAGAATAACTAGGAGTTAGTTAATAGCCAGCCCTAAGCTTCTAACCGCTGAGAACAGGTCATTTCACATAAGTTACATTACAATAGTGGATCATCCATATACAGAATGTAACTATTGTGTACAATCTTCTAACTATTGAAACAGAAGAAATAAATGCTCACATTTTTGTCAGCAGGTAATACCTGCTATCGCGAAACTTACTTGAATATACAGAAAATACTCTCAGTGTGAATATGTCTGTATGATCTCTCTTATTCAGGCTTTTCTTGTAATAACTAGGAGTAGTTTGAGGTAATCAGTCCATGATTTTTTTCAAGATTGATGGACTGATTATATTGACTCAAGGCTGTGTGACTGATTACCTCAAACTTCTCCTGTTCTTCACCAATCTCCTTTGTATCGACTGATAAAGCCACTGTGAGGCGAAACGTTTCCTCGTTAAATATACCCAAGTGTTGCACATATGTCTAATTGATCAACCTTACGATACCTAGTAGCTGGGCAGGTTATACATTGTGTCACCTGTCACGGCAGAACTAACCTGTTATATAACAATGTCGCCATTGCAGGATGTTATATATTATATCGACGTTCACGACTGGTATATCATGATGTTCAGTTTGCAGACTCTGATCGAACATAACCGAAACATCATGAAACACTCTGGTATAATGAGCAATCCTGCACTTTTGTATATCATTGTTGTTTGAGGCTGTGCATAACAGATTCCCCTAAATAGCTATCGAGTTTGTGCAACCCATAATTTGAGTTGTATATGTCATTCCTATCATGTTTCAAGAGAGAGTACTCAATTATGTTTCTTTCCATGATGGAACTGTTGGATACAATTATTTGGGAAGCAGCCCACCCCAGCGACTGCAAGAGATGACATGGTTAAAGATCGCATTCGACACCTGGCCTGTCCTGATTGAGCACTGGTGTTGAGATAATCTGGTTTCTAGAGGTTTACCTGTCTGACCAATGTATGAGAGTGGGTAAATGGTGTATGAGACCTTTTAAACACCACCCACATTATTAGGCATACCAAATTATCCTTTTATTTCATTACTTAGAAGATTGTACACAATACCTACATTCTAAATGTGGATGATCTACTATTGTAATGTAATTTATTACATCACATGACCTGTTTTCAGCAGTTAGAAGCTAAGGGCTGGCTAGTAACTATCTCCTAGTTCATAATAATACTGGAATGTCACAGCTGCTCTGAATTATGTGTGGATTGATAAGATAGTCATGCGAGGAAAATACTGATTTTGAGGTAAGTGGATATGCCTCTCGTGTTAGATGTTTAAAGATTAGAGTGAACAAAATACTAAAAATAATTTTTTTTAGTCAAAACTATACTATTTTTATTCGTGTTCCTAAACATCTTAACATGTCAGCCTTATAATTTGTCTTTATATTTACGTTTTTTAACTTTATACTCCAGTCTTATAGACTAGAATGTAGACTCACAGTACTCTGTACTGTGATTCGGTCTACCTATCACCAAGTATACTTTGTAATACAGACTGTACAATCACCCAATGCACTGGGTGAAATTTAAGTTTTAATATTTTGGCCATAAATTGTTGAATATAAAATAATCTTCGACATAAGTTCAGCGAATACATAATTTTTTGTTTGCTATCCCATTAAGTGATTTATGGGCAACTAAGCAAATATTCTTTTTAAGTTCTTACATGACAAATGTAAAATATATTCAAAGAAACAAATAAAACACAGACTCTTATAAAATTGAAGACACGTTGGTTGCTGCGTAGATAAAGTTTGAAGGAAGAGGACTCGGGCAGGATATGTCGTAGACCTGGCAGAATGGATACGATGCCTCGTGATAACTGTGGAGCAGTGAGAGATGTTAGTGACTCGTCACGTTATGGAACAAGACAAATTTCTGCAGCATTATTTTGTTTCAAGCTTGTAACATTTGTTGAAAGCCAAGTGATCAACTAAAGCTCATCCTTCAAGTGAGTTGTGTCTTGCAAATTGTCTTGCAACTTGTACCTTGGAACTTGTAGTCACCTCGACCTTGATTCGTGATGTGCTTGTGTCTCGTGATTTTGTGCTTTTATATAAAGAGCCCTTATATATAACTATGTAAATATTTATTTTTTATCATAAACTTTTATTTTTTCCAGTAGGAAAAACGAAAATAGTGTGTTTTTTTGAAATTTTGTTTTAAATACATTGGGGGAGGGGTGGGCTTAAATAGCAACGCTCCTCTTGCCGATAAGGCAAGGGAGGAAATTTGTGTAGCAAAAATTTTCCAAAAAATCTTTCTGAATCTACAAAAAAAATATACTTCATTTGTTTGTTTATTATTAAATATTTGTCAAGGTTTAAAAAACTTTTTAAATATTTTTAAACTGGTTTAAGCTAAAATAAATTGGTAACAAAAAAACCGTTCCCTCTCTGAGTATATATATATATATATATATATATTATATATATATAATAATTATATATATATATATAAATATATAATATATATTTGTAGATGAATGGTTCAGAGAACCGACATGTTGTAAATTGGACACATGTGCAATCTTGGGTATCTTTATTGAGGAAACATTTCGCCACACAGTGGCCTATGCGTGCACCTCTCCTCCAACGGTTTATAAGCTCTTTCCGCATTATGCCGTTTTATTCAAGATTGAGGATGACAACTCGACTCAAGGTTGGGGGACTGATTCCCTCATTCTCCCTGTTTTTTCAAGATTCTCCTTTTTGGACTGATGAAGCCACTGTGGGCAAAACGTTTCCTCAAAGTACCCAAGAGTTGCAATGTGTCTATTTATTAACATGTCGGTTCTCTAAACCATTCATCTACAAATATATATTTTATATATATATATAATATATTATATATATATATTTTTAATATATATAAATATTTATACAATTTATATAATATATATATATATATATATATATATATATATATATTAACTTTAAAAATGGTAAAAAATACCGACAGGTTTTAGGTAACAACCGTCGGTTTTTTATACCATTTTAATTTTTAAATCTGCAGACACTGATATATATATTATTGTGCCCACGAAACGATGGAATTACAATCAGCACTGCACAGCCAAGGACTCGAACCCTGCTGTTTGGCCTGCCTATATGGGGGAAAAACTACGTCCTAATCCCGGAACATATGTCCTTAAAATAGGCATCAGCGGAAATGGGGTGTTTACTCGCTACCCCAAAGGGCACACGATGGTGTAGATGACTCTAGGCTAATTTCATTCTTGGGCTCGAGTCCTTGGCTAGTGCAGTTTGTTATTAATCATACCATCGTTCGTGGTTACAATAATATAAAATCTTCGTTGAACTAGTACACCCAAAAAGGGGCTAGAAGAAATTATCCTCGAGCATCCACCCATCTGTGTCCCTTGGGGGAGTGAGTCAACATCCGTGCCGCTGGAGCGTTCCTTAAATCGTAGGTCCCCGTGGATTAGGGGGTATGTTTTTCGCCCACCCTGAGGCGCAATATATTTTATTTATAAAATTTAAATATTTATTATAATTTTATATTATATAATATATATATATTATAATAAAATTATATATATATTATATTTTTGGGTAGGGGCGAAGCTAAAGTAGGAGAAACTTTTGAGGGGGTTGGTAGGTAAGTTTGGGGTGCCCGGTGTAAATGATAAAGGGGGCCCTTTGATGAATTTGTATAAAAGGGGGTTTTTTTAGGTAATAATTTTTAAAAAAAAGAGGATAAAAAGTTACACATTGAGTAGGGGGGAAAATGACATATTTTTTGGGTTTTGTATTTGTAGATAAAGACGTTGAGTAGATTAGGGTGTACATGTTTACGAGGGGCCACGAATATCAGATCATTTTAGTTTTTTTGCTCATGAGAGTAAAAGGAGATGGGATACAAGGGAAAAAAGAAGCATCAGGGAAGAGAGAGGTGAAGGTTTTTAAAACTAAAAGAGGGGCAGTTAGGGTAAGATATAAACAGTATTGGAGGTTGATGGGCTAATGAGAGCATAGGCAAGGGGGTCGAAAGGGGAATGGGGTGGGTTTTTAAAAATGTAGTGTTAGATGTTCAGCCAGAAGTTTGGGGTTTCAGGAAAGTGGGTGCGGGGGGAAGAGGAGCGATTGGTGGAATGATGATTTTAAAGAGGTGGGAAAGGGGAGAAAAGTTGCATATAGAAGTTTTTAAAAGTAAAGTGTGCAAGGGGGGAAGGTATAGGGGGAAAAAAAAGAGAGAGGAAGGAGGGGTTTAAGCAATGAAAAAAGGAGCAAATGAGGAGGGGGTGAGCTGTTATCAACAAATTTTGTTGAAAAAAAGAAAAAGTTTTGGGTGAGATTAACAAGTTAGGAAGCCTAGAGAAAAAATGGATTTGTCTTTAAAAAAATAGGAGGGGAAGTTTTTAAAATGGAGAGTTAGAGGTTTTGGGGAAATGGGGGGAATTTTTTGGGAATTTTTAAATGTTGAAAAGATAGGGAAGCTGTGATTGTGTTAGGGCAAGGAGGAAAAAACACCCTTTTTAGGAGTGGGGAAAGACCCCAGTTTGGTGTGGGGGGGAATTCGTGGGCAGAGGTAAAAGAAAGGGGGTAAGGGAGCCCGGGGTTGTGGATAAAAGAAAATTTAAAAGCAGGTGGGGATATAGTTTTTGGGGTGGTTGGGCAATTTTTAATAAATTATGGAAAAGGGTAAGGTACCCGGGATTGGAGAGAGCATGCTATTCCTTTGTATAAAGGGAAGGGGGTAAAAGAGAGTGCAAAATTATAGGGGATAAGTCTGTTGAGTGTACCTGGTAAAGTGTTGGTAGTTTAATTGAAAAATTAGAGTAAGACGGGAATGGATAGCAATGAACAAGGAGGCTTTAGGAAAGGTAGGGGGGGTGTGGACCAGGGTTTTCGTGAAACTATAAGTGAACGTTTTGATAAGGCTAAAAAGGTCTTTTTTGGCATTTATGGATTTGGAAAAGGGGTATGACAGGGTGGAAGGGGGGGAAAGGGGCAGATGTTTCAAATGTATGGTGTAGGAGGTAGGTTTCTGAAAACAGTGAAAGTTTTTTCGAGGATAGGAGGTCAAATTAGGTATGTAGAAAAAAAAGGGGAAAATTTTTTTCCCCTAAAAGTAGGCCTTAGACAAGGAGTGTGATGTACCCTGTTGTTTAATATATTTATAGATGGGGGTTGTAAGAGAAGTAAATGCGAGGGTCTTGCAAGAGGCGTGGAGTTAAAAAGATAAAGAATCACAACACAGGGTGGGAGTTGTCACAGCGGGCTCTTTGCTGATGACACTGTGCTCTTGGGAGATTCTGAAGAGAAGCTGCAGAGATTGGTGGATGAATTTGGTAGGGTGTGCAAAAGAAGAAAATTAAAGGTGAATACAGGAAAGAGTAAGGTTATGAGGATAAAAAAAGATTAGGTGATGAAAGAATTGAAATATCAGATTGGAGGGAGAGAGTATGGAGGAGGTGAACGTATTCAGATATTTGGGAGTGGACGTGTCAGCGGATGGGTCTATGAAAGAGAGGTGAATCATAGAATTGATGGGGGAAAAAAAGAGTGAGTGGTGCACTTAGGAGTCTGTGGAGACAGAGAACTTTGCCCTTGGAGGCAAAGAGGGGAATGTATGAGAGTATAGTTTTACCAACGCTCTTATATGGGTGTAAAGCATGGGTGATGAATGTTGCAGCGAGGAGAAGGCTGGAGGCAGTGGAGATGTATGTCTGAGGGCAATGTTTGGTGTGAATATAATGCAGAGAATCGTAGTTTGGAAGTTAGGAGGAGGTGCGGGATTACCAAAACTGTTGTCCAGAGGGGTGAGGAAGGGTTGTTGAGGTGGTTCGGACAATTAGAGAGAAGGGCGAAAAGAATAATTCAAGAGGTATAAAGCGTAGTGGAAGGAAGGGGGGGGGTAGGGGGTGGGGTTTTAAAAAGGGTTGGAGGGGGGGTAAAGGAGGTTTTGTGTGCGAGGGGCTTTGGATTCCCAGCAGGCTGGTGGAGCGTGTTTAAGGAGTGAATGGAGAAAAGGTTTTTAAAAATTTTGCGGTGTTGGATGTGGAAAGTTTTTTTTTGGGGATTCGGAAAACCGGCAGGGGGATTATTAATAAATAAATTATTAAAATTTTTAAATTTAGTTTTAAAAATTATTTAAAGCCCCCTTCGGGAAGAAGTGTGGATGTATGGTGAAAGTTTTTCTTTTTCCCCACCCTGCCTTGGTGGGAACGGCCGTGTAAAAATAAAAAAAAATAAAAAAAAATTTTTATTAATAAAAATAAATTAATTATATAAAATTTAATAAAAAGAATTAAAATTTCCCCCCCTGCCAAAAGCCCATTTTGGGGTTTGCTCGTTTTTTTTTTTGGGGGTTTTTTTTTTTTTTGGGTTTTTTTTTTTTTTTTTTTTTTTTTTTTCTTTAGAATTTTAAAAAAATTTTTTTTTTTTAAAAAAAATTTTTTTTTTTTTTAAACCTTTTTTTTTTTTTTTTTTTATTTTTTTTTTTTTTTAAAAAACCCCAAATTTTAAAAAGGAGTGATAACCATTCCGATTTCCCCCAACATGTAAATCTCTAAGATTTTCGTCAAACTCATAACTTCGATTCGGAACTTCTCTGGGCTCGAGGTCAGGCGACAAGTGCGTATATGAGCTGGATGCGCATAGCACGTGTAGTGTATAGCGGCGTGTCGTTTATAGTGGGGGCTGTGCCAGAGCATAGTGGTGTATAGAAAACAGTGCACAGACCATAGTGGCTATAGTAACAGGTGCACAGGCATTGTGTTGTATAGTGACTTGTCCTGGGGGGGAGTGAGTCCCCTCCCCCCTCATACACATTTCCCACCCTCCCTTTTCCCTCCAC